TTGAACGATGAAAGTTTATCAATAATACATATTATAACTATATTACAAAATGCCTTCTGTCGTATCAGTTAGACAGCAGTGAGTAACCCGTCGTTCTGGTACTGTTCATCCAGCTGAGAAAATTTTTTTTGACGGAATAACTGAACGTTGCCGAAAACTGAGCATCAAAAAAAGGTAAGCTCAAGACTGAGCATTAAAAAAAAGTATTTAAAAAAAGTAAGTTTCAAATAGGCATACAGTACATAAAACAGTAGAAAAAAAGATCTGTTTCATCAAACAGAACATCCACTTCAGTAGGTGTAAAAACTGACTGCAAACGCACATTCACGTTTTAAAAAGCATATGAAATTTACAACTGTCGTAGATCTTATTTCTTAGCTTCCTTTGATTTTATTTGGTAGTATCTAGCAGATTTGTCTCTATAAGTTGTTAAAAATAAGGTAAAAAGTTTTGTCATTATAGTTCACAATACATAGATTAAATTACTAAATTTTGAATTTTGATTAGTTAAAACTAGAGAAAACTATGAAATATCAAAGACTCATTGCCTACAGCTGCCAAAATAGCTTCCATCAATGAGCAGAAAGAAGTGACAACCAGAGTTAGCATAAGCAAAACTGGCAAAGGCTAATGGTTTCTTGTCCAGCAGTTAATATGTCCGTTTTCTGAAGTAGCTAGATGACTGGTTGGCTACCTTTCGACAAACTTTTGAAGTGGGACTGCAGAAATGACACTTCCCAAAAATGGAGAATTCAAAACCCGTCAGTGTGTAGTTACATGTGTTAAGTGCTTCAGATAATATTTATTAGTCAGATACAATGAATTCGATTTTAGTTTTAAACTTAACAGCAGCTAAGGATAATAAATCTGGTAATGAAAATTGTTATCGTACAGTAACAAATATCGCTGCAAATCAACTGCAAGCATTTAAATTACTACATTCTTCAACGTAGGTCTATAATCCAAAGTAATATTTACACTACGTTCTGGTTTGTAGCGTTTGTCAGTTAGCCAGTTTTAAATCATCTTAGCAAAATTATTTGGTCATAATAGATCAGTCAAAAAGTTATTTATTCTTTAGGCAAGAATTGATTCAGCACTACCAGTAAAATAGTATTTTTTTTTAATGCAAAGATAGCCGAGCAACACTAATTTTCTTTGCAACCAGACCACCCTTCTTATTTTTTATGAAAATACAAATATTAAAAAAGCATACAGTAAGTTTTAGTCTGACTTGGAGTACAGAAAATTTGAGAAGGATACCTGCCTCGCTGCCATCAGTGCTTGTCCAGTCGGTCAAGTTCAGGATATCGGCGCTTTGAACGAAATTTACCAGAGCAAACTTTTTCCTAAAACAAGCGGTAATAAACTCACCAAACTGCTACCAATTATCAGTTTCAAAGTGTGCCTAATTTGTTCTTTACTATAATGGCAGGCCCACCAGTATCCTAAATACTCTTAACAAGTAAGCGAAGCTATGAAACGAATTACTTGCTACTTGCATTAACAACAGCTGAAACCAAAAATTAGAACAACAGCAGTGTAGAACAGTAATGAGGCTTTGCCATAATATTTGTTCGTCATCTACATTCTGTCTCATAAGTAGTGTGCATTCTTTGAAAAACTTTTTTTTTCAAAAACAAGAATTTTTAATTCCTAAAAAAATACTTGTCAGAAAACAAGACGTGATAGAGATACAGAAGATTAGGATTAGTCTGACTTTCAGTCTCCTACCTACCAACAATGATATATAAAGTGTTAGCTGACTCGTAATTAGCAAGTTGACAATGGCTACATTTATAAAGGAGTAAGACCACTTCTAAGTTGAACAATGCAGTAACTTGAAATAATGCAGTATAGCCCCCGAATATTAACTATTTTGCTAATCAGCTGTCCAAATGCCCGCTTGTTTGTTCCAACACCATTTGAAAATCATATTTAATGATACTTAATTCTTGCACCAATTATTCATAGACGTTTGGGTAGATTTTTTTTTTTTTTTTATTGGAAATACATACTGTACAATCAACCACCTTTAAAGGCACTTTTCTTACACTGCAAACTTATTACAAAGAAAAAAGAAAGTAATCTGTAAAAGGTGAACAAAAATAAGAAAATGCAAAAAGCTTGATGCTGTGCTTAAAAGGAAATCAGAATGCCTTATCCAACTTCCTTGCAATACTAAAAATTTACTGTTGAATCAATTTTTTATCACCGCGTAATAAAAATATCATCAGTCCAGTTGCTTATCCTTGAAATCTGAGACAGTGTGCAATGACTGGCTTCTGCTACTCGTTTTCTCCCACTCTTTCAAAGTTTTAGAAGACTTGCTCGAACTTTTTCAGCACAGGTAATGGTGAATTACTTGTAGTTTACCCATATGTTTATAATAAAATATCCAGCCTTGATTAAAGAAGAGCTACTGATAACAGCCAGTTTTTTTTATTGCTCGCTCTCTCCACAGTTTCTGAGCTTTGCGTACAGCTGCATCAGCAACATCCCTAGACGACTTTACAAGTTGAAAAATTCTTTGTGCAGTTCGTTTACTACCAACTCAAACTCACCCACTTTGGCTCCTCACAAGCGTGCGTCAAAAAGTATAGGTGGTGTAACAATTCGACATTTACTCGTTTTTGATGAACTTTTCCACCACTTTTTTCCCATAGTGATTTTGTGCAACAAAGGTTCAAGTACTGGTCAAAGGAAAGACAAAAAAAAAACGTGCAGCAGGCAGAGCACTGCACTAAGAGCACCATGACAACAAACAAAGAGCGGCTCTATGCTGAGGTGCTGAACACACCATTCAAATACTCGCTTAAGCGAATTTGCGGCAAAGCAAAAAAAAAAAATAAATTTGGTCATCTGTGGCATATATTTGGCGCGCATGGCAAATTGCCAGCAATTTGTTTAGATAATACTGATGGGTTCTGTACTGCAACCAGGTATTCCAACTAACCATGAATTACGTACAGTTGTTTGAAGTTTGAAGCATCCAGCAATAAATACTATATGAAGAACGGGTTAATGAAGTTGCTGGATGTTTTTAAAATTTCTACTCATCAACCAATTTCTTTAATTGATTTTTCTTGCAACTTTACCGAGTGATTTTTTGTTTTTCTTCTTAAGAGTTTAGCCTACTCTCTTCAGCGGGATCTATAATATTAGGTTTGATGTATCGCTCCTTCACAAGGTGTCGTTATGAACTGTACTTGCTGTAGTACCTAACGAAACAAAAATTTTTAATTTTGCATTTCTGTTGAAGGATTTCTTGATATAAGAAGTGAATAACGTTGTCGACTTGGACTTGTTTATCTGTTCCACTACCGATGTTGCTTCAGAAGTACTTGAAGTACTAAGGTATTTTTGTAGAATACATCAGGTCGAAAAAGTGTTGTAAGTGGCGTTAATATTCCCGATAGTAGTTATAATAACTTTTTTTTTATTTGTCAGAAGAAAATTCTTTGTTTGGGAAATATGCAACGCGTAGGCGACGAATATCGCCCAGGTAACGGTAAGGGAGAGATAGCTATAAAGAAACTTCGCTTTCCATGCTTACCTGCCAACTGTAAAAGTGCCAGGAATTTTACGTCAGGTTAGGAAAAAATTGTTATTCCTAATTTATATGTTCTTAGAATGCAGCATTAAAGGAACGTTTGCCTTTTTTGTTGGTTTGAATCTAGAATAGAACGGATCATCTAGTACTTCGCGAGGATGTTCAATTTCCACTTTCCATGATATGTGATGGAATAGCTTAGATCAGTTTTACATGGTATAAAATTGCATGAGCCTAAACTGGTGTGATCATTGAAATTACTTCGTCATTTATATTGTTGTTGTGGTTGTTGTTGGAGGGTACCTGAAGCGGCACTTTTACCGAATTTCCTGAAGTTCAGTGCTTGGTAGATTGTATCAGATTTTGGGCCAGACTAGCATGGTTTATTTTTAAACATCCTTGCTCGGTTGAACGTGTTTCGAGGAAATCACTGAACATTTCGCAGTTTCATAGTCTCCTAATAAGATTTATCCTTTTATAATTTTTCTCTTGTAGGTATGGATTTTATAACGTATTGAATAGCAGGAAATCGTAAATGGAGATTGGCTGCCGTATCGATGTTGGTGGGAATAGAGGATCAGTGGGGTATATTGGGCCCATCGAAGGTTATGATGGTGATTGGGTGGGCGTTGATTGGGACGATAGGAAGAGGGGTAAACATGATGGTGCAGTGGGTGGGAAACGTTACTTTTTTGCCAGGTATTTTTCTGAAATCCATTAATTTTTAATGCGATTTTTTCCGAAGTATTTCTGCATTTGTGAGTGAATAAGGAAGATAATTTAAAAAATGTATTTCTGTTCATGTGTATCGCATCCTAGTTTTTAATTTCATAATTTTTCTTTCAGTGGTGAAAAAAGTGCATCATTTGTGAGGTTATCAAATGTTATTTTTGGGAGGAAAATTGATAGCGAAATGACTAGTCGTTATGCAACGCAGTCTGAGATGGATCAGTATGAAATAGGAGTGAAAATGATTGACTTTGTGGCTATGGAAAAAATATTTGGAAAACAAAGGTTTGTTTGGTACCTTATACAGTGGGTTTCTTACAAGCGTATTTTCTCAAGTTTTTCAAATTTTTATCCCATCATACTTCTGCCTTTCAGAGATATCTATAAACTGCGTTGTGTTGTTCTTGACAGCATGCATGTTGCTTTACCACCGGATATTGGAAGTCCTCTTTTCAATTATTGCACAGAGTTGAGCTTATACAATAATCTTATTGCAAGATGGAGAGATGTTTTAGATATTGTTAAATTTTTTCCTGTTCTTCGCTATCTTAATTTAAGGTATCAGGATTTATGCGGATTTTTTCCTCACTTCAGTAACTTTGTTTTTCTCAGAACTCAGTTCAATTTTTTGTATTAACTTGATTATTTGACTAACGATAATTCAAGATTTTATGGAAAAGCTTATAGACTAATCTTGTCATAGAGATATTAACTCGTTGCTCTGCTATTTTTTCAATCAGGTAATTAGGTAATTTCAGGAAGAATTACATGGAGCCAGAGATGACATCTGTTAAAAATTTTGATTCCCCTGTCAAATCGCCGGTTTTTCGTTTAGTTATCAGTGATTGTCGGATCGATCAAAAAACTGTAGGTCTAGACTCCTTGCGCAAAAATTGCTCGAAAATAAAGTTGTAGCAAATAGTTTGGTTTTATTCTTTTTTGAGGCGGTGAAAGAACCGACGTTTTTAACGCTAATTACTTAGTTTGTGAGCTCTCAAAAATGTAAGTCATCTTATTTTAATGCTTGGGACAGTTGATATATAACCTTATGAACAAAAAAGATTTTTTGGACTTACTAAAAAATTGATAATTTATGGTGATGTGGAACGAATTTGTTAAATTGAGGGTTTAGTCTTTTGTATCATTTCCATTTGATTCTAGGTTAAAGGGGTTCAGAAATTATTTCCCAAGCTGGAGCAGTTGTATCTTGCCTCAAACAATCTCCACACCTTTGAGGTTTCATCTACTACAGGCAGTTTACAGCTATTGGATTTGGAGAATAACAGTATTGAAACTTTTTCTCGCATTCATTCCCTTTCTACAGTGCAGAGGTTTCTAATAAATTTAGCTTTCAATTTGTAAAGATTATGATAAACTGTTTTTTAGTTCTTTCTGTTTTAAATCTTATTTACTAGAAGACCCAGAATTCTAAATTTTTTAGCTTAACTTCTCTGAACTTGTCAAACTGCGGGATATCAGAGGTAATATTTGGAAGTCCGATCGGTTTTGCTTCTCTCAAAGACTTGTACCTCCGCAACAACGTTTTAAAAGGGGTATTTTTTCCTCTTAGTCATTGAGCTCCGTATGTCCTGTTTTGAAATGTTGCGGTAGATTCGTAAATTTTGTTTTTAAATCTAATGTCTTTTTAAAATTTAGCTGGTGCTTTGACGGGATGGAAATGAACATGCTTCAAATCTAGAAAAAAACAAGTGTAATGTTTTTTCTTTTGCAGTGGAAGTGGATTAATGAGATAGCAAAACTGCCAGCATTGATCAGGTTGTATGTGAAAGGACGTCTCAGTCTTGACAATGAGTTTGGTAACAACACTCGAGAAGTTCTAATAGCTAAACTTCCTAAATTGATTGAACTAGACAGGTGCGAAATAAGTCATGTGGAACGAAGATCTGCTGAAATTTTTTTTTTGAACAAGTATGGAGTAAGTCCAGTAGCGAGAGAACACGAAGAAGATATTGTCAGGTACTGAACTAATCAGCTTTATACTACTTGACTTTCTTGAGTGCTGTGGTTTATCTAGTAAGTAGCGTCTTGAAGAAGTCTCTGCATCAACATTTTTTCTTTGTAAGGCTACAGAAAATTTACGGCGCCCCAGATGCTGCTCGACTCGTCCTACCAGGCGGGATTCGTTTGCTAAAGTTAAAGCTCGTATTTAACAATAAGGAAGTTCTACGTTCTCTCCCTGCTTCGATGTCGGTTCAAAAATTGTATGGCATGGCTAGCAGGCTTTTCAGTCTTGACATCAGAAAGGTTTTTAGACTTATCATTAATTTGTTTTCGTTAGTTCTGGCTGTGAAGATTAAGAAATCTTTTTCAGTTAGCTCTTTATGCAGAAAGTGTTGGTGGATTAACCTTTGAGTTTGACAATCCCTGTCGGTCGCTGAATTTCTTCGACCTCTCTGATGGTGATGTTATTCATGTTCGGGCATTATAGCAGTGGTTGTCAATTTTGACTGTTACACAGTGCTTCAATACAACTTTATTTAACACATGTAATCGCGAAATATGTTTGTCTACCGAGTTCTATGGGTAGGAAGGTTATAAATTTTAAGTAGTTGTCGTCACTAATGCTTATTTCAAATGGAGGTCTTACGAATACTTTTCGATATAGTCTTTTCGTCTTTTTTGTTATTTGGTTTACGTGTACATGTGATTGTTTGTTATTTTTGACTCTAAATCGATAATCCAGCATTGTCTCTGTTATATTTGAGTGTACGGGTTCTTTTTTGTAAATTTGTATGTGTTTCTCTACCGTTATGTATTTATTTTAAAGTTGTGAATAAATTGTTCAGGACTCAATCGGTTTGTTAATTCTGTCATTGGAGAATTTCAGGACTGTGGAAAAGCAGTACTTTGATTGTAAAAGCAATTCAGCTTAAAGAATGAAAGAGGTTCTTGATGTTAGTCTTATCAATGATCTTCTCTGGATAGTTGGCAAAGCGCTGAACTGTTGTTTCATATTTTAAAACTTAATTTAATTTTAGTGAAGTCTCCGTATTTTGTGATATGTACAGCTGCCTTGATTTTGCGACGCCTGAATGATTTGATGTAAGCTTCCTTCTATTGTTCACCGGGTTGGACATTTTGTGTTGACAGGCTTTAAAATTTTCCTTCTTGGGGCGTGGATATTGTGTGATGATGAGCTTTGGTTTTTTTCTTTTGTTGTTAAATGACGTGATCAAGTTTCCTTGTACATTCGTACTGCATAATTCAGGGTCTCATCTTGTTCGCTGAGTGTGTATTTAGTTTAATGATGAGTGATTTGAAGCGAGAGGGACGGAGGAAATTGTTTTTGTTTATCATCGAGGCAGGTTGGTTTTGCAACTGTCTTTGATGGTAAGGAGAGTACTCTTTGTATTGTCTTTTTGATTAATTAAATGGTTAATTGCTTTCTTATTTTGGCTCTATTTTCTCTTGATTTTTTCAGCTCTTTTATTCGTAAACTATGCTGCCTAATAGAACTCAAATCAGTGCCAAGAATTTCAAGTTTTATTAGGTCAAAGAGACGGTTTTACTTAGCTTTCTTACTGTCAACAAGTTTCATGAATTCTAATGCGTTGATTTCTAGGCATAAGGTTGGGAGCGAAAAATATTACAGTTTGCACTGCGTCTATTCTTACATATAGAGTACTGAAGAAGCAGTCGTCAGAAGGCATATGTCCTTACGTAGATTCCTTTGTGCACTTTTGCTCTTATAATCTTTGCTTTCTGGTCCTTTCCCAGAAAAATTAGATGAAAAAATTATTCTCTTCAGAGGCAGTTGTTTTTTTTCGTAAAAAAATAAAAGGGTTTTTTTGGTATCTTTTTAAAAAATTTTAGACTCTCGCCTGTGCCTGCATTTTATTGGCGGCAAAGACAGAGGAGGATCAAGTAGTTCGCATAAGAGATGTAATTAACGTTGCTTACAGGTGAGGTTGTGGCTGTCAATTGATCTTACTTTCTGTTTAATTTTACACCGTGCAATTTTTTGATCAGTTTAAATTTTTGGTTAATGCTTATAATTATCTCACGTGAGAGTGCATTACAGCATCCTGCATCCGGAAAAAGCTATTTTACGCATTGGTGAACAATCATGGGCCATGCGGGAAGGAATTGCCAGAATGGAATATTTGGTGTTGCGTATATTAAAGTTTGACGTTGAAGTGGATAATTCTCACCAAGTTTGCATTCATTGTTCAAAGACCTAAAAAAGCGGACTGTCTACACTATTCTTTTATTTAAAGAATATTGTAGACAGTCCGCTTTTTTTAAAGCGCGAATCAGCTCTTTCTAAAAATGAGGAATACGTTTATCAGAAAAAGTGTACTGTTTCAGTATTTGGTGCATTACTTGTCTTCTTTGAGAGACTGGTGTCCTCGCGAATTTTCGAAGTATGATATCCCAGCCTTTTCTTTCACTCTACTGCGGGACGCTCATGTGTGTCCATCAATGGTTCTTTCGCACAGCCCACAGACAGTTGCAATCGTTTGTCTTTCAATAGCTCTTAGGACTTTCAGGGTTGGTACCTTAACATTTGCAGTACTGTTTAACAGCAGTCCACTCAGGTGTGACGCTCAAAGGTTTTCGTTTAAAGAAATTACAAATCAGCATGACATTAGGCTGGTGCATTCAGAGTTAAAATTTTATGTTGCTTTTACATGGTGGTATAAACGGGACTTACTTAACGTTCCAACTTTGAGTACACCGGTGCAGTTTTCGTAGTTTTTTATTATTTTCTCAAAGGAAGGTTAGAAACTTTTATGAATTACAGGTAAATGTTTGCACCCGTTGGTACAATGTTTTTAGTGAATCAATGACATCTTCGAAGCTTCGGCGATTGGAGAAGGAATATCTTGAAAACATTTTACAAGTGTATTAAAACTTGAAAAGCACAAGAAAATTATTTTTGCTCATTGCTTGTTAAAATTGCCAACTACTGTCATAGTTATTATTTGTTTACGGCTTCTTGAAAACTGTGCAGCTGACCATGGTGGTTTTTGTCATAGTTTTTGTTAATTTGACCCAGAAATATGATCACCTATTTTCTACTTATCTGTTTCTATAAGATGACTAGTAATTGGCTTACAGGTAGTACGACAGTTGGTTATTTAAAGAATGATGTTTTTATGAAGTCTAACGTTTAGAAAAAAGTGGCCTTGGTGGTACTGGTTTTGGGATAATTCGATGTAAGAGTTCTCTGGTCAAGTTGGGTTCTCCACCCTCATCGCTTTCGCTACTGCTTTCTGTAGAGTTTCTGGCAGTTGAAAGCTTTTTAGTTTTAAACCCTCTAGTATCTTCTTCAGAGCTTGATGAGCTTGTGGTATCTGCCAAAGTTTCAAGTACTTCATCTAGTGACAGTATTGATACCTAAAAGAAAAAACGTAGCAGACTGATAATTATTATGGCAAGTGGTTGTCACTGTTCCAATAACCACCTACCTTTTTCAATAATTATTTATGAACTTTTGTGCGTTTTAACAGCTTTATTTTCAATAACCTTTATTGATGTTTGAGCTTATTTTACCTGAGGTCCAATTTCTAGTGGTAGTACAGATAACGACAATTGACGTTTATCTGAAAAATGAATCGCAATTTAAAAAATTTATTTATTTAAAACAGTATTGTCAGCAGTTTTTATGGAGGTCTTTGAACTGCACTTTTTTTAGAATGAAAAAAAGGAAACCTCTTGAATGGGTTCTTTTGGTAAAAGTACTTGCAATTGCAGAGATGGCAAAGATGTTAACCTAGAAACGGTCAGATGTTATTTACGAAACTTACACAGTAACTGTACATGAATTTAACTTCTGATTCTGACAAAAGCTTCTTTTAATTAGTGGCAGTAAGTGAATTTGTTAATTGCAAGCAAAACTAGCTGCAAAATTATTTGCGACAATAAAGTTAGTATGAAAGTGGAGTAGAAATACAACTGAATTCGAGGCAGTTTCTTTTTACTTTTTCAAATCGCAATTTAGTATTATGGCAAATTTTAATTCTGAAAAAATTATGACTCTCAAGCCCGTTGTGATGAAAAAGCAGTTGTTTGGCCATTTAGAGGCACTTCACAATACTAAAACTGAATTTAATTTTCCGGTAGTGATTATAAGTCCTCAGGAAGTTTTTAAGTTCTTTGGCCGATTTGCTCATCAGGTGGTCAGGCCGGGAAATTAGTGTGATGAAAATTAGTTTAGCCATTCAGTTCCGTCAGGAAATAACTCTGAGGTTCATTATTTACGGGAGCACATCTTAAAGGCTGGGAAAGAGAAGAAAATGCTGTATAACTAACCAGTAGGATGCCAGCGTTCACCATGGTGTAAGTTGAACACCAGAGGTGGTTTAAGTTCTACTTTTATTCTGGGCAGGTCAACCAACCAGTGACCCTTCAGGCGATATCGCAACTAGAATTATTCTGGGCAGTTGACCGCGAATCAACTTGTAGCTCAAAAGAAATAACCTTATTGCGCAAGGTCACGTGATCCATTTATATCACCAAACTGTCACAATTCCACTACCACTCAAACAGCAATACAAATAATTTTGAGCGTCAATCATCGTATCACTCGTTCTTATTAAAAACTAGATTTTAAAAATGTATTCTGCGCAAGCGTTACACGCTTTTATTTCTTTATTTTGAGTTTCTTGGGTGACCGTCTGTGAAAAAATAGACTTAATTTCGAGATGTGAAATAATGTAAAAAGTGGTGTCGTGAACAGAGTTTCAGAGGATTTATTTGAATTGTAGTAAATTAGTTATTTAATTGAGAATCAGGATTTTGCGTAAAATAATCCAAGATTAGTCACGTGACTAAAAGAACTAGCTAGACTGGGAGTGTAAGATTTTTTTATGGCAGCAATGCAGAGATGGCAAAGGCAGGCGATGTTTTTTTTTTTTTTGATATTCTAGGATGTCCTCTTTTTTTTTGATATTCTAGGATGTCCTCTTTCCACTAAAACATGGTTTTTCTTAACAGCAACTTCACTTTTAAGTATTTTTTGTTTTGGGTGTACCTACTCGACAGTACTTGCGGAAATCTAGTTTCTGAGTTGTGCTCCGCATACGGCTTTCATCGTACAACTATTGAAGTTGTTGCTTCGGTTAATTGAGAGAGAAGCATTTTAAAAGTGCGAGTGTTGTGGAGGCATCTTCGTCGTTCGGGCAGCGCATCGCTTTCTGCCTCTGCACTTTACTTAACTTTGTTCAGAAAAGTGAGAGACAAAAATCTATGACTAGCCTTCTTTAACGAAATGACCATTTTACCTACTGAATGAGTAAATCTTATGTAGACAATTAGAAGAACTTCTAGCATATAAATATTTCACTCATCGCAAATGGGTAAAAAGGTGCGAAACTACAAATTGACAGAATTTGTAGACATTAAGCATTTAAACTTTTAAAAACACGCAACTTCGCAACACAGTTTGCTGAAAAAGAAGGGCCGAGAACGAGTGGAAAGAACATTTGACACATCTATTTTCCAAAAACAATATGATCATAATGGCAAAAAGTGTGTTCAACTTGTAATTGGTACTTCAAAAATTTAATTTGGAAAGCGTCAAAAAAAAATTTGAGAAAATATTTAATTTTTTTTAGGGAGCTGAAATGTTCAAGATTTCAACAGACTCAAGACATAAATTACAGCTGTAGAAAAAGCAAACAAATTTTTTTACAGCTTATAAAACATCGCATTCTTCTTCTAAAGTTGTTAGAGTAAATGTTCTTTGTTTTGAAAGAACTGTTTTTTTTTCACCAAGTTGTATTGATAACTGGAAGGATAAACACGTACGTCGTCATTTGAAAAAAAAAAAAGTTGTGACCAACAAATATTATAGCTTCAAGTTTCTTTTATGATAGTGGCGGTCTTCTAGATGAGATCAGTGCAACAGACTAAAGATTTGAGAAAGCTGATGTCAAAGCTTGAAAGAAGCTCTGGGAAGAATAGAGAATATTGAAAATTACAAAACTTTATGCTTAGAGTTGCGGGCTGACCCTACTTTTCATGAAGGATATTTAAATGTAATATAAGGTACCATAGTATGGAAAGTGAGAGGTACAAAGCCATCAATAAAATCTCAAGAAACATTTGATGCATCATTTAAAGCCCTGTTAAATAACTATTATTGGACTGAAATGTATCACTTATTCACTGATTTTACGTGATTTTATCACTCACTTTTCTTGCTGCGTAATTTTATCAATATTGTCACCATTCAGTCCGCAAACACTATTTCAGTCGGCCAGAAGGACAAGTACTCTAATGTTAAAGAAAACAAAGACAAAAGTACATTTCTTCAGTGTTGACCAGATAAAAACAGAGTTTAATCAAGTGGGGAAAAGACATCCTATAATGTATAATTCTGTGACTTCTGTGCCTTAACTGTACACCAGTTTAGCACTGCTAAGCTACTAACCGTTCTTCTAAACTATACATAAAGTCTGGTAAACCGAGTAAAAGTAGATTACGACAAGGCGAAAGAAAATACATAGATGGTCGACGCAAGAAGGATGGCAGCTTTTAGAGATAAAACAAATTATTTAGGTATTGTACCATAATTAATTATTTGGGTTTCTGGACCAGAAGTTACCAACTGAACATTTCGGAAGAGTGAAAGCTAAAATGAAAACCATAGAAAATGAAACATTCGGAACCGCACTATATTATATCAATGATCTTCCGCGTATCAAATCACTTTAAATTCTCCTTCTTTACCTGGCGAACCTCCTCTTTTTGGTGCCTAAGCAACCCCTTTTACAGTGATTTCACATTTGTTTTTCCAGATGTGCTCCGCTGTAAACCCTGCTACTTATCAGTAACCAAAAGCACTAGGAAATTTTTTTAACGCCTTGGCAATTGGAATGAAACGAGAGAATGGTGAATAATTTGATTATAGTAGTCTGTATCTTTGCCGTTCTGATGTTATTTTTGCCTCTAATCAGACATTTTTTAAATCAAATCATTATCAAACCGTTGCAACGCCAAACAGAATAAATTAAAAACTCCATTTTTCTCGACTGTTGTTCGTAAAATTTGTTAATGGTGTTGTTTATTACGATGTTTCATTATAACAATCCCATCATCTATTTTTTAATGTTCTATTTATACTTACTTTATAGTCTAAAAATTTATCTAAGAACGATGTGGTAATATTATAAAGGAAGCAAAAAAGTGATCTCAACATCTAAAAGTCAGTTTCACGAGACTTTTGAGGCAGTAAATAGAAATGAATTGAGAAACTGAACCAGCTTACTCAAAAACTATTCTAAACAATTTTTTCTGAAATGCACATTGAGAATATGCCAGTTATCAAGGAAGTTTGAACTGTTTGAGTAAGATACATTTCCTGCTGTATCTTGCCTAAAGCTGCTTATTCCTTCGTACTAACTCAACGAGTGATCGATGACAACTGAATAATTGTTTCATTTCTTGCTAAAAAAGGTAAATGCAGCCAGAGGAAGCTAACTTGGCTCTGTTACATTTAAGCGTACTTTTTTGGTCTCCAACCTAACGTTAGTCTTGATGTGTGGGATGTTGACCCCTTCTGACCCATCTGTGATAGCTTCAAACTTGTCCACACATTCCTCACTAAATTCACATCTGTCTTGCGTTTTAATTTTAAGGTAATCCTTGTGGCCTTCCATAATACCAATTTGAGTAGCAGTATAATGAGTAACAACTGCATTTCTTAACTGAAATCCTAGGAACCTAGAAAATTTAAGTCCATGCTTGATGCAGCCGTGCTGCTCCTAGTTGTCATATTTTTCTGCCGCTTTCTGGTCTTTTGAAAAATACCTATGTAATTCTGACCTTTCACTTATGCATAAAAAGCTTACTGACTCATTGTATGAAGTAACAGAAGAATTTTTTGAAATGGCTTCCGGAACAAACTCATGCATTGCGTACTCATTAAAAATATTACCTGCTCCTTTCATGGTTTTGTAATGTGTTTTTTTCTGACACCATCAACCTTCAATTGCATTTATGTGAAGTTGACCATTATACTGGTCTGCGCGAGGAAACTCAACGGAGTGCTTAAGAATGTAATTAGTGTACAGTTATCCAAAGTTTACTATTATTAGAGGTAGTGAACGTGTAAAGACTGTTGAACTAGCAGAAGTACTTCCGAAAAAAGGTAGAAATACCCAGTGGAATTTAATTCAAGATCATACAGTAAAAAGTAGCGGTCATTGTCCTTTACATCACGCACTGACAGGAAATACGCACTGCGAAACGCCATAAGAATTAAAGCGAAACTATGATGTTTGTAAGCTAGAAAGTCAGCTAGAAATACATTAAAAAAAGCTGAAACTATCACAGATGAATTGGAAGAGGCTCAAACCCTGTAAGGAAAGTGAAAATAGGCTGAAATATGCGAAGATAATCTCGCTAAACTAAAAAATAAAAATTTTTTAGTTTACTACTGTTTACCCCTGCTTCTGGTTCCTAGGTCAAACTGATCGCCGTCGACAGGCATGAATAGCACGGTCTTGAAAAGCAAATGTTGAACTAAAACAAACTTTACGGCAAATGCAACCATTTTTATTAGGTTTTTATATAGATATTGGCATCTTTTCGCTTACAGGCAGATTTGCGTTAATGCGGCTACAGATCTCAACCTTTTTTATCATCTGAACAGCAGTGTGCTGACAGTACTCAAGTACGGCGCCTTTTTTGGTTGCTCACGTTGCAGACGTGAAAAAGCGTCCATTAACGAATCCTGTTTGAGATACATGTTGTTTGTCTACTCGTGAAGAAAAATCAAGTTGTTAATAATCTTTTGGTCGTTCGAAAGTGGAAATAATACTCTCATTTAGCTAATGCTACTGGTCGCTGGATTTTCAAGAAAGTTTAAAGCTCCTGCGACTTTATCGCACTATTTGACAGTTTTCACGACAAATTTCTGATAAAAAAGTGTGAAACATTTTTTAAAGTAACCAACCAGTCTTTAAGAGCAGTCCTGGTTGACGACAAAACCTGTGGATAGCGGAGGCTCATTATCGGTGACGAGCATGGAAAATTCAACAAAAATTGAATCTGCTGTTAATTCCGATGGTAACGACGTAAACGACCACGTGGAATTGCCTACTTCAAACTGTTTTGGGATTGGTAATTTTTTTCCTAGATAGTCTTTGCACCGCATTTAACAGCAAAATTATGACTCTGCTGACGAACACAGCTGACTTTAATGGAATTATGTATAAATAAGTCACGGATGTCTACCCTTTGATCTTACTCAGTTCCGTTTTCAAATGTGGGATTTCTGTGTACTTTAGCAGCGTTAGTGTTAGAGTGATATTTGCTGTCATATCTATTAAAACAATCAAAAA